AAAAAAATGTTTATTTATTTTTGAGCGGGATGGGGAGTGCAAAGAGAGAGGGAGACAGAGAATCAGAAACAGGCTTCATGCTGACAGCAGTGAGCCCGATGCGGGGCTCGAACTCACAAACTGTGAGATCATGACCTGAGCCCAAGCCCCATGCTCAACGACTGAGTCATCCAGGCGCCCCCTATCCAAACTGTTGCATTTGATGCAAGATAGGGAAGGGGAGGTTGGATTTTCAAAGCTGACCCAAAGGATGCCTTACTCAGGGGTGGCTAGTCCCTCTCTCAGGGCCTCAGTTTCCCCATCCACATAGTGAGGCGCCTGATGATTTTTTGGCTCCAGTAACCCAGCTCCAGGTCTAGCCCCGGCAGAGGAGGGACCTGGAGTCCTGCCGCCCGTGTCTCTGGGATACGGGAACAAAGAGCCACCCAAACAGGCGTTGCCTTGAGTCTCTCCTTGGCCTCACGCACCCAGCATTCCAGAATGGCATTAGGCTGGCCGGCTGGCCGCTGGAGCCCCTGTCCTGTATCTGTGGCCTCCCCGCAGGGCTCCCAGGCTGACCAGGCCCACAGCGGCTCAGGGAACAACCTTCCCCTCCCCCAGGGTGGCAGCAGGAAGAGGGAAGAAAGAGGATCGTCTCCAGCTGGCCCAGGAGACAGACCTCCTTGTCCCCATCAGCCCTGCCGCCCTCCCTCCCCACCGAGGGCTGTCCGCAGGGGCTTGGGATCGGCCAGAAAAGTCAGGCAACTTTTCAGGGACCAGAAGGAGGGGAGGGGAGGGGAGTCTCCCAGCCTGTGAGAAGCAACAGCGCCAAGCCCTACCCCTCGCTGTGTCCTGTCCACAAGTCCAGACTTTGACCCTGAGCTTCAGTCCCCGTTGGCGGGCAGAGGGCTGAGGACAGGACGCCTCAGAATCAGGAGACTCCTCTCAGGAGGTAAAATCCTGCGCCCAGCTGTCTCCTTTCTTCAGAAGTCTGGCAATCCAGGTGAGTGGGGGCGGCAGTGCACCAGGACCCAAGGTCCTCCGGGCGTTAAGGAGAAGGCTCCACATTAGAGCCCAAGGCAGGTAGGTAACAGCCCTGGAGCCAAGGCAGGAACGCAGGCAGGTGCCTTCGCCTCTCCAGACTTCCCTTCCCTCATCTGGAAGACAGGGATCATAATCACCTCTTATGGGGTTAACTTGAGTATCAAAAGAGGTGATGAACAGAACGTACTGAGCACGGACTGGGCACATAGCAAGTACTCAATAAATGGTAATTATTATTTGGGGGCAGGGAGCCGATAGCCCGGTTATCAAGCATTTATAGAATCCATTCCATTTTCAAGATCAGTTGTGAAAATGTCAGCTTCCTAAGAAGTAGCCATAGGGCACAACCTGATTATGTTTATTCAAATACCTTGTCTGTGACTTGTTGATTTGTTTTAGAAGTCTTTCCTTTTTTTTTTTTTTTCTTGGTAGATGCAAATAGCAATCAGAGGCCCAAGCTGGCCCAAATTCCTTTCTAGGGACAAGGAGGGTTATAAGCCAACACGTACCAAGACTGAAAAACAAGCAGAAAGCGTCAGGTGCTAACTTCCTGCCTGCTCCCTAATTGTTACACCGCATGGCAGAGAAAACTCAGCTAGAACAGGCTCCAGGTCCCAGCGCTGTCCCACACTGTTCACGTGACGCTGGGAGAGTGACTTCCCTGAACCTCAGTCCCGTGTCTGTAGAACCTCCCAGTTGAGAGGATTAAGTAAGAGGATGTCGGTACTAAATCTACACGTATGTGGTGAGCGGCAGAGACCCAAAATTCCCTTCCTGCTGCACACTTACGGAGACGTTATAATTACACACACACACACAGATAGATGTAAGAACCTCAGCATCTTCCTGGATGCACACTCCAAGCATGATTGGTTGAAGGGATGGCATAAGACCCTGGAGAAAGGCAGTGCTAATAGAAACGCGAGCAACAACGAGCAAATGGTTGACTTAGTAATCGAGCTGTGTGCATGGGAGTCTAAAACTTCATTAGCCCCATGCTTTATTGATTTTACCTGGGGCTGGGGCTGTCAAATCCTGCAGCCTAGCTCCTGCTTCTCAAGAGAACCTCCTGCATTTACACTGCACTTAAACACACACACGCATGCACACAGGGGCTCTAATCAGCATCAGATTGGATTCACTTAGTTCAAGAGGATTGGCTTCGGGAACACGTTTTCCCTCTTCAATTCTACGCCTGCCAGCGACACGCTAAAAATGCCTACAAACGTTTTATTTTACGTTTTTTGTTTTTCAGTGCGGGACCCTGAAATATCGGCTGTTTATTTCTCACCTGCTTAGCCCTCAGATTTTCCAAATAGTGTGATTTGCCAGCCCAGTGTGCCCGGTGCTCAGGGACGTGGACTTGTGTGAGTCAGGCTGCGCTGGGCTTTGCGTCTCACCAGCTGGGTGTCTGAGCCTTACTTGCTTCATCTGTCAAATGGGCAGAAGGGTAACGCTGAGGGTTGTTAGGAGCTGAAAACAGATACAGTGTGTGAAGTTCTCAGCGCCATGACATTCGCATGCCAGCAATGCTCTTGTTGGACCTCTGTGTTGCCAGCTCTTTTCCTGACTCCACCTATTCTTGCCTTTTACAGAGCTCTTTTCACCCCAAGACCCCCATGAACCCTTTTGTCACAAATGTGTCATTTTGGTTGAGTCTCTCCTCTTTTTCCGCACCTCCCTTTCCCCATCTGGGTAACAATGTCTAACTCCTTTTTAGAACTTGACACTCTGGAGAAACTGAGTCCAACAATGTTACTTACCCCTCTTTCTC